AGTGGTGGAGGGCCTAGACGCAGGTACATGGCGTCTTGTGTGCCACAGGGGTGGCAGTGTGGCGCTAGACCAGACGAGGGCTTCACGCACCACAGGACGAGTTTGTAGCGCAACTTGACGGGCAGTGGGGGCCCTGGTGCACCTATCACAAGGGTCAGGGAGCTGGGTAGCACCACCAGGACAGGTCGCTCAGCGGGGGTCACGTGTGACAGGATCTGGGACACATCCCGAAGTGAGGATGACTTGCGTAGCAGGCCAGCCTGTGCTGCGGACTTGGAGGAAATGTGGATCCAGAACTTCCAGTTCCTCCTCACTCACTTGGCGCGATTTCAAAGGCCATCATTGGAGGATTTCCGGGGGCTCTCTCAGCTTCCTCAAGTTGGAAACGGAAAACTGTATTAGGGTTTGGTGACTCCGAGGAGCCAGCGAGGCGAAGGGGCCGGGACTTCAGCGGAGGCAGCAACAAAGAGCCAGGTGACCCAGCAAAGCCTGAAGCAGTCCAGACATGAAACGGGGCATATGCTGGAAAATGTTAACTCAGTGTTTGCTTTGGGGAACCAGTCTGACGGCTCTTAATCCAGTGGCGTTGTATGTTCCAACTCACGGGACGTCCACAGATCCTCGGCGGGACGACAAAGGCCCATTTGTGAGGTTTCATCGATGCCTGGAGGGCGCCTGCACCAGCCAACTCACTCCCAGCAGCGCGGCCTTGCCATCCATGAATCGGTCAAGCCTTTCCTTGAGGCCTGTTGCCACGGCTGCTTTGCTGTTGGCTTTCCATCTTATCACTTTTAGAAAGACGAAAGAATATAGAAGTCGCCGGCCGAGCAACGAGTGGGCTCCGCCTGTAATCCCAGTAATTTGGGAGGCGAGGCCAGGTGGATCCATGAGGTCAGGAGTTCAAGGATCCCAGCCTGCCCAAGGATGGTGAAACCTTGTCTCTACTAAAAAATACAAAAAAAATTAGCTGGGCGTGGGTGGCACGTGCGTGTAATCCAGCTACTCCAGAGGCTGAGGCAGAGAATTGCTTAATCCTGGAGGGGCGGGGTTGCATGTGAGCTCGAGAGGCGCCACGCATCCAGCCTGGGAACAGAGCGAGGACTCCGTTCTCAAAAAAAAAAAAAAAAAAGAAAGGTCGCCAAGTCCCGGAGTGGAAAATGTATGGACGCTCCTGTTTCTCTAAAATGTGATCAGTTAGGTTGAGTTAGGTGGAGAAGGATGACTTCTTGGCCGCTGGAAGCGAGAGGACAGCAGGCATAGCTTCAGTGAATAAGACCAGAGGCAGGACTGCTCTCCTCCCATTGAAATATATCAGTGGAATGCATATGCACCAACAGGCACACATATAAGCACCATGCAAAGTTACACATGACACACATGGGCACACACAGGCACACATGCAAACCTGGGTACACGTGCCACACACTATGCACACATGAGCACACACAAAGCACACATGAAACATGTACAACTAACACATGAGCGACAGTGCTAACTTACACATGAACACAACACGGTGTACACCATTGAGCACACTACAAAGCACCCACACGAAAGGGTCCTCACACCTCACCCCTGCCTTTTCTCTCGGGGTCCTCACACCTCACCCCTGCCTTCCCTCAGGGGTCCTCACACCTCCAGAATTTTCCTCCCATCCCTTCTAAGCATGTGCACAGGGCCGAGCTCTTCCGTCCTGTAGGGCTCCACCCCAAAGGCCTGCTGGGTGCCACCCTTCACCCTGCTTCTGGCCCTGTATGAGAAACATGGGCCTTTCTCTAGATGTTGGGGTCAGCTCTTATACCCCCAGCTACAACATCAAGACTTCCTCAAGGGCTTCGTTGTGGGCTCCTGGCTAAGAGTCCGGCATAGACAGGTTGGGGTAACTTCAAGGTTCTGGGAACAGAACACCTGCCCCGACTAAAGGCTCAAACCATCTCTGCTCAGCAAAGCCAGGCGTGATGTGCTTGCCAAGGCCCTTGGCAAAAGAGGCAGTGGGGCCTTCAGGATGCTTGGAGGGGCGTGGTGAGGTCCATCCTGAGAGACCTGGGAGGGGCCTGCAGCTCAGCTTTAAGTGGGGAGAGTGGAGAAGAGCCTTGGGGGGCCACAAAGGTGCCCATGGAGGAGAACAGAGGCAGAGAGGGAGGCCTGGAGGCCTGGAGACAGCCCTTAGATGGCTTCAGAGTGCGGCTCCCTGACCCTTGCAGCTCAAAATACGAGTGCCCAATGGAGCAAAGAACAACCCAGGGAAAGTGAGAATGGAGAGGGGGCCCTCTTTGGTCTCCTGCTTACAGAAACATTGGTTTTCTAGTGCAGCTACTTCCTGCTAATTTATTCTAAGGGCACAAGATGGGCTCAGCCACCCCTGGAAGCTACTCCCATTCCCCTCAAACAGCTGGCACCCAAAGCAGACCGCAGGCGTCGCAGCTGGGGCTCTAGGGCCAGGCAGGCCCAAAGGTGCATCTCAGATCTCTGTCCTTGCTGGAGTTTGACCTTAGACAAGACACACAGCTGTCCTGAGCCTGAGTCTTGTTTCTAAACTGGGGTAATAATGGCGCATACCTCGTGGGTGGCGAAAAAGGCTAAATAGGATGCGTACTCCCAGTGCTCAGGCCAGAGCCTGCCACTTAGCATTTGCTCAATAAATAAGAGAAAGGTCGGTGGGAGGAGGAGAGTTAGAGCACCACCCACCCTGAAACAGAGGTGCACAACGGCCAGGAGTGACAGGCACCACTTGCGCAGCTCAGGACACGTATCCAGAGCCACCTGTGATGGTTAGTATTAAGTGTCAACTGGATTGGATTGAAGGATGCAAAATATTGTCCCTGGGTGTGCCTGTAAAGGTGTTGCCAAAGGAGATTAACATTTGAGTCAGTGGACTGGCTGAAGCGGACCCACCCTCAGTGGGGACTATCTAATCCATTGCCAATGCAGCTAGAATAAAGCAGACTTGCTGAATCTTCTGGCCTCCATCTTTCTCCCACGCTGGATGCTTCCTGCCCTCAAACATCAGACTCCAAGTTATCCAGCTTTTTGACTCTCGTGCTTACACCAATGATTTGCCAGGAGCTCTCAGGCCTTTGGCCAGAGACCGAAGGCTGCGCTGTCGGCTTCCCTACTTTGGAGGTTTTGGGACTAAGAGTGATTCACCACTGGCTTCTCAGCTCCTCAGTTTGTAGAGAGCCTATCGTGGGCCTTTACCCTGTGATCATAGGAGTCAATTCTCCTTAATAAACTCCCTTTCGTATATACACATATTCTATTAGTTGTGCCCCTCTAGAGAACCCGGACTAATACACCACCCTCAGTGCTCCCGTTCTTGACTAACCAGCCACAGGCCAATCACAGAGGTCGGGGTTCACGGGAAGAACAAGGGAGGGGTCCCATCCTGGAGGAGGCCCAGGTCCGTTGAGATGAGGTCTGCACATAAACGCCATGGAATGCCTCTCCTTGCACTTGGGTCCAAAATGGGCCCTCTGCAGGTGTGCACTGGTAGGACCATTGCACTTGGCATTCTGAGATCACACTTGGATTGTTCTTCAGAAGAAAGCCCATCGCTAGTGTAATTAAAGAGGACAAAAATTAAGTCATGGATAGAAAGAAGGCCCCCAGGTTGGACAAAATCATTCCTTTGCCTACATTCCTGAGAGCCCCCGAGGGGACCGCCTCGTGCCCAGTCCGGCTGGGAGGACCCGAGCAGCAGGGATGGGTCTGCATGCAGGCTCAGCCCCACCATCAGCTCCAACCCTTTCCCGAGGCAGCGCCAAGGGAAATACATCAGAAGGCTGTGGCTTGGAAACTTGTTATTTATTTATGGGGACACAACTCTGAGTGGTTTAAGTAAACTTCCCCTCTTCTAAAATTTCATTTTGGTAAATATCTTGACCGGCCATGTGTCCATGTTTCTCACCCGTCTCTGCCTCGTCTCTCTCGGGAATCACCAAAGCTGCAGGTGCCTGGTGGTCATCCCACGCGGGTCTTCCTTCGTCTGTACCCTCCCTTCCCACCTGATTGTCCCAGTCTGAACCCCTAGATGCAGTCTTAATCTTATTTTCTTTTTATTTATTTGGTTTTTTTGAGACGGAGTCTCACTCTGTTGCCCAGACTGGAGTGCAGTGGCATGATCTCAGCTCGCTGCAACCTCCGCTTCCCAGGTTCAGGAGATTCTCCTGCTTCAGCCTCCCAAGCAGGTGGGATTACAGGCACCCACCACCACGCCTGGCTAAATTTTGTATTTTTAGTAGAGACAGGGTATCACCATGCTGGCCAGGCTGGTCTCGAACTCCTGACCTCAAGTGACCTGCCTGCCTCAGCCTCCCAAATTGCTGGGATTACAGGCGTGAGCCACTGCACCCAGCCAGTCTTATTTTCTAATCAAAGTTATTTGAACTCTTGCAATGGCCCCTTCCTATATGGATACCCCAGTATAAAACTGATGATCATTTCCTTAAATGCGGGAACTGTCTCCTTGGTCTGAGGAAATGCAGGTTCAAATCCCAGCTCAGCCACTGCTTAAGTGGATAACCTTGGTCAGGTTATTTAGCTTGCCTATGTAGGGTTTCTCAACGTTTCACACTGCACTAATAGTGCATATAGGGGAAAGCATATGGTTACCAGGAGTTCCCAGACAAAAGCAGACTATCATAAACCTAAATTCATTCCCAAGTCATAGGGTTTATCTTGGAAATCCACACCCATTTTTTATGCTGACAATCTATTGCTGTCACAGACACGTTATTTGCCTACTCAATGTCCCTTTTTCTCCTTCACTTACAGAATCTCTGAATTATTGGGTGCTTTGACGGTTAATCACTGAACAACAAAGAATCACTCAATAATTGGATGCCTCTATCTAAAAACACTTCCCAACCTCCTTTGCACATAGACATGACCAACATGCTGAGGTCAATGTGTAGGGGTTTCCAGGAAGGCTCTTTAAGGAGAACCAATTCACCTGCAAGGTACCTCTCACCCCTTTCTCCTTCTTCCTGCCTGGATATGATGACAAGCACTACCGCAGCCATTTTGTGCTAATGAGGCAATCTCTAAGTGAAGTGATATGTTTTGGATGGGGGAGCAGAAAGGAAAATAAGCTTGGGTATTGATGACATCATGGGGTCACTGTAACAGCCCGTTCCTTCACATAAAGAAGGAACTCCCAATTCATGTGAGCCACTTGTATTTTAGGTCTCTATTATCAGCAGTTAAGTACAATTCTGAGATCAGTTATGATGATTGTTTCACGATAAAAATATTTACAACAACTCGGCCGGGCGCGGTGGCTCACGCCTGTAATCCCAGTACTTTGGGAGGCCGAGGCGGATCATGAGGTCAGGAGATAGAGACCTTCCTGGCTAACATGGTGAAACCCCATCTCTACTAAAAACACACACACACAAAAAAAATAGCCAGGCGTGGTGGCGGGTGCCTGTAGTCCCAGCCTCCTCGGGAGGCTGAGGCAGGAGAATGGCTTGAACCCGGGAGGTGGAGCTTGCAGTGAGCCAAGATCACACCACTGCACTCCAGCCTGGGCAACAGAATAAGACTCCATTTCAAAACAAAAAAATATATATATATATATATAAATAAAAAATATATATAAAAATATATATATTTATAAATTATATTTGCAACAACTCACCATGAAGCAAACTAATGCTCTGGAAATAAGTGTCCTCCCCTCCTAGGTATTCATTTCCCTGGTACTCCGTGTTCCCTCCCCGGCATGCATGTCCCAGAGAAAGAAGTCAGGTATGGTGGGGGCCATGGCCTGCACTTCCACTCAGAACCCCTCCGCTCTGCCCCCTGCCCTTCTGATGGAGCGAGCACCCCTGGAGCACCACCTACAACTCCAGACCCAAATGTGCTCTTTCCTTGCCTGGCTGAGAGTGGCTCCCTGGCCAACATGACGGGGGCCAGCTAGGAGAGGGGATGGAGCCCTGTCAGTGAGCTGTGTCCCCTATGTTAACTTGGCTGCTGAGGGGCTGGGTGACCTTGAGTGTGATCTTTGACCTCTTTGGTATCCTTGACTTCCTTCATGCATTGAGGGGGATGAAGCAGATGTCCCGTCCCCAGACACAAGCTCACAAGGACCTTGGAGTGATGTGGTGATGAGCTGGAGCTTTATGGTCACAGAGAGTTGAGTTCAAATCTCAACGGTGTTATTCGCCTGCTGTTTGAACCTCTGGTTTCTGTAACATTTCTCTCTAGCGCTGTGTTCATGACATGGGGATAATGAGACACCCACCTCACACGGGGGGGTATAAGAGTTTGCTGGGGTGGCCACAACAAACGGCCATAAACCAGGTGGCTTAGAACCACGGGAATTGATTATCCCATGTTCTGGAGGCTACGAGTCTGAGACGGAGGTGTCGGCAGGGCTGGCTCATTCTGGGGCTCGAGGGACTCTTTGCTGCAGGCCTCGCTCCTGGTAGCTTCAGGGGTTCCTTGGTTCCTAGAGCACTGTCTCCCCCCAGTCTTCACGTCGCCCCCCGCCCCATGCACGTCCATCTCTGCGTCCAAATTCCCCCTTCTATAAGGACACCAGTCATACCTAGGAGGCCCATCACCCTGTGACAGTCTCAAGTCGATCATCTACATAAGGCCCTATTTCCACATAGGGCCACATTCACAGGTATTGGGGGTTAGGACTTCCATGCTTTTCTGGGGGGACACAATTCAATCCATAAGAGGAGTTGGCTTATTCATGTCAAGTCCTGCCCTGCAGCCTCTGAAAGTGCTAACCCCCCCGCCATATTCTCTGTTGCCATTATTCTGTACTCTGTTGTCAACGCAGTAGGTTTTCATTGACAAGAGCAAAGAGGGCTGCACCCGCGCCACTCATTCTGCTGTGGAGGTTTGCAACGGACAGCGGCAAACCTCGCTGACTTGGTGAAATCATTTTCTGACCTAAATGGTTGACTGGGAGCTGGAGCTGACCTCCTCCTTCACACTTATTGGACAGACAGACTCAGACAAGGGGTCAGAAGTTCCACATCTCTCCAAATTCCCCAGGGCTTGAGATTGTATTTTACCATGGAATGAAATTCATTCGAAGGCTTCTTCATTTTCCATAGACCTTGCCAGAATATGCCATGCAGAAAGAGTGGCTGGAAATTCTAGTCAAGCCCCAGCTTTGCCTGTTTTGAAATTGGTCCCTCTTCTTCTCTTTGATTCTCCTCTTCCGCTCTGTAGGGAGGAAATTCAAAATATTCACCATTTTCCACCTGTTTTCACCACTTTCAGGTTTCTGAACATGGTGGCTCTTTGGAAACGACTAGAGAAGTAGGTTGTTGCCATTCTCTTTGTGAGCAGAGAGGGGCCTGCTTGTGGCATTTTTGGATTCAGCACTCACTGGGCTTCTCCCAATGTCCTTGATAAATAAATCATCCTTAAATGAGACAGTCTTTGAATAGCTGAGCAGTGACCTAAAAAATTAAGGCTATTAGGAAATGGGAAACACGTCAGTCTCTGAGTCATTGGTTCTTTTTATTTTTCATGTATGTGTTGAATCTGTGTGAAATTCCTTCCCCCCACCCCCAATTATAAATAGAAACCAATGTGTTTTTCAGTTGGGCTTTTTTTTTTTTTTTTATGAGGTTTTTCCCACAGACAAAAGGGATTTTCACTTTCAGGAAGAAGGGTTGCCAAAGGCAAGAGGTCTGTAAGATGGACGTGGATTGGGGCCACGCATCTCCTCTCCAGATTCAGCCTTGGCATGCTGTCCTCTGCCGGATACCAGGGCATTTTTTTTTCCTTGAGCCTCTTGCAGCTTAGAGAAAACACCCCAAAGTTGGAATCAGAAGATGCAAGTCCAGCCCTGATCACCGTGGCGCACTGGTGATCCGGCGTGGAACCTGCCTTTGCTCATCGAATATCAACTGGCTCATCTGGTGCTGTTCCGCTCAACTAGCAGCTAAATTGGCCTTGGTGCTCAGAGTCTGAATACTGCAAGATACGCAGAGGAAAAAATCTCCGCAGCTCTCGGAAGCCTGGATGGGAAGGCCCCTGATGAGGGAGGAAGAACAGAGGAGGTGGCGTGGTGCTGGAGGACAAGGGAGCCTCCTCCCAGGCCACAGGGAAACGGACACAGGGACGCTAGAGGCAGTCGGTGCCTCAGGATCTGCCTGAGAGATTCCAAACCTGGCTGCACAGCTCCACAATCCCTTTTCAGCAATTCCAATATCCCAAATGTGAAAACCGAATAAAAAAATAATCAAAGTTCAACTGGCAGCAAAACCTGCCACCCTGAACATGCGTGAGACCGTCTTTAACCTCAGTGTCTCCCTCTTAGCTTGAATACTGAAACCCTCCCTGCAGAACTGTTCATGAAAGGCTGCCCCAAACCCTGTGGGGAGTTACATTATGCGGGGTCTGTTCACCATGTTTCCTTCCACAACCCACGACAGTTCTGAATTATGCATGCATCTGGCCTCCGGGGTTTCAAATAAGGGCTTGGGGACCTGAAAAAATCTCATTTGGAATTGCCACCAGTAATCAAGTGTCCCCATGCGATGTATCAGAGTTGCAAAGTGCTAGTCTGCAGGATGACCTGGAGTTAGATTGTATTGAGTGACCACTGTGTTTTCAATTTTTTGGTGTCCTTGGTTGGAAGCAAGGTCATACCCAGCCCCTGCTGCCTCCTTCCTTTGGGCACCTGCCTGCCTTTGAAGGCATTTGAAGTGACAACCTTGCTGTGTGAAACAATGTCCCTGCAGAGAGAGAACTGATGACCGAGATGGGCTCTCCAAATCGCCAGCCTTGCATTCATTCATTCTGCAAGCAATGGCCGAGTGATGTTTGCTTACAATATTTGTGATTTGGCAGCAATGTTTAAGTGTTCATTATTAGTAAAGTACTAGGGGGAGCCTTCCAGAGCTGAGTTACTTGCACTGTCCAATTTGTTCTCTGGCTGGTGTTGACTGGGCACTTCCTTGGGGTAGCCTAAGTGGGTATTTCAGTGCCCTACTTCCGGGGCTATCTTCAGGACTACGCAGCCATGTGGCACTGCTCTCAGACCCATTTTACAGATGAGGAGGCCAAGCCTCAAAGATGGTTCATCACTTGGCCCCAGGTTCTACAGTAAAAATGGAAGGACTTGGGTTGCACCCGGGCCATCTGTGCCGGCTCTTTCATAGCACAGTGCAGTGCTGCAGAATAGAAGGATGCTCGAGGACGTCGCTTTGGGATTAATGTCCCCATTGGAAACCTGCAGCCCAGGGCCATCTGCACTTATAACACGGCTTCCTTCTGCTGCCCGCCTGCATCTGAGCCACACACGATTATTGAGAACACACTGAGTGCCAGCGGTGGCTGCTGAGGACAGAGTGGTGAGCAGAGGAATAAGGCCCCTGTCCTCCTGCAGCTTAGAACCCACCGCAGTGAGTCAGATGTCAAGGAAGCGGTGGCAGACACAGGGCAGCTAATTCCAGATGGTGGCGAGGGCTGCAGGGGAGTCAGTGAGATGAGTCAGCTGGGCTCCTGGGGAGGTAACGCCTGAGCAGAAAGGCCAGAGACGTGTCCTGGGCAGAGGGAACGGCACCTGTGAAGCTTGCAGCAGAGGGCCGGGGCCCACAGCACGTTCCTGTCCACCCAAACCAGACGTTGAGTCGTGCCCTGGCAGCACCTGTTGGAGGCAGTTGGGAGACATCGTCACCGGAACCCACAGCCATTCCCGCATTCCATGATGTTATGGCAGGAAAATGGAACGGGCCCTTCCAAGAAGTTCCCAAGGGAGCTGAAAATATTGGAGTTAAGACCATGAGGCCTGCGTTCAAGTCCTTGCTCTGCCCCTATTAACTGACTTGACTTTGAATAAAGCCCTTTTTCCTCTCTCTCCCTCTCGTTCTTTTAAAAAAATCTGTTTTCTGCCCCGTAAAACGGACATCCGACACCTACCTGATAGTGTTCTTGTGAGAACTTCATGAAACAATGCAGAAGAAAGACCTACGGAAGCTGCAAA